AGGATCGTGTAACCTCGTTTTTTGTAATGAAACAATTTTTGGAATGATATAACTATGAATGATATAACTATGTTTCTTAGGCTGTGAAGCCTTAATTTTGCTTCAACTGAATATTCTTGAATGTCTTTAATATCACACACCCTTTATTGAATGTGAATATTTTAAAGAAATTACCCTGTCTGAGGGTTCAACATTTATTATAGTCCGAAGCAAAAATAAATAAGATGTGAAGAAGGGATCTCTTTTGACAGTTTACCTGATATCGAAGGATTGTTTATCCTTTTGGTGATTTAACCGTCAAAGGAACCCTTCTTTGAAATGGATTTGTGTGAAATAAGTATGTATATACTTGTTTCTTCTTGTATTTTTTCGATGTGGGATAACCTTGTGGCTCATACTACTGAGCTCAGAGTCAGTGAGTACGACCTCTATAAGACATTTGTTCCAGGCAATTTAAAGCCTGAGATAATTGACTCCTCAGCGCTAAGCCTGAGGGGAAGTTTTGCTGAACCAGACACTTAGGGTCTGTAGCGAATAAATTACTCCCCGGCACTGAGTCTGAGGGGAAATTTTGCTGAACCGGACACTTAGGGTCCGTAGCAAATGAATTACTCCCCGGCACTAAGCCTGAGGGGAAATTTTGCTGAACCGGACACTTAGGGTCCTGAGCGAATGAATTACTCCCCGGCGCTGAGCCTGAGGGGAAATTTTGCTGAATCAGACACTTAGGGTCCGAAGCAAATGGATTACTCCCCGGCGCTGAGCCTGAGGGGAGGTGTACTGAGCCGGACACTTAGGGTCTGAAGTGAATGACTCCTCGGTGCTGAGCCTGAGAGGAAATTTTGTTGAACCGGACACTTAGGGTCCGTAGCAAATGACTCCTCGGCGCTGAGCCTGAGGGAAAAATTTTTGAACCGACCACTTGGGGTTCGAAGCAAATGGATTACTCCCTGGCGTTGAGCCTAAGGGGAGGTGTGCTGAGCCGGACACTAGGGTCTGAAGCGAATGACTCCTCAGTGCTGTGCCTGAGGAGAAGTTAGCTAAACCATTCGTATATATATTATTTTTTTTTCGAATAACCTGTCATGAAGCCAAAGACTCAAAAACGATAGGAGGCCAAGAAAGCGAGTAACAGTGGCTGGGAAGTTTCCTATTCATTTTTTGGAGACTTTCTTCCACTGAGACTCTCTTCTTGGCAACTAGACGTAGTGGATTATGTATATATCAACTTCATCCCTTTTCTAGTTTTATTCGATGTGGGACATAGATTAGATTTCATCAAATATAGGTCAATAACTCCATCTTTACAAAAAGGTCAGTGTAAGGAATGCCTCTGGTATTAGGCTTGGCCGCTTTCAATACCAGTGAGCCCTCCTTACACTGCACTCAACTATTTTAATATTCCCATATATAACAGAATGCAAAACGTACTTTTTTATCGATGTGGGATAAAAAGCTTTAAATAAAAAGATTTATTGTGAAGAATACCTCTTGATATCTTAGTTTTGGCATTGCTTCTTGGCATAAAAATTGCATAATGCGTCTTGGCATAAAAATTGCATAATGTGTACGCATAAAAATGCATGAAAATCACATAATTATAGGGTAGGGTACTAGTATGGCCCCCACATCGAATATGATAGAAGTAACATAAAGAAATAAATTTGCTAACTGTGGGCATAAGCAGCCTTATTTGTGAAGAAATTCTTGTAAAATTGACAAACTTATCTAATGGTAGTACCTTTTAAGGTGTATTGCATTCCAAGGACGCGCAATGGGACGCCCGTCAGCTTCGGCTAAATGGTATGCTCCCTTCCCCACTACTTCGGTAACCCTATAGGGTCTGATCCAATTAGGTTCCATTTTCTTTACATGAGCTGTCTCTTACTTCAGAACCCAATCGCCTACCACAAAGCTCCTGAGCCTGACACGTTTGTCATAGCTGCTGCGCAACTGTTGCTGATATGAAGCAAGCCTAATTGCTGCAACATCCCTCTTCTTGTCAAGAAGATCAAGGCTGTGTTCAAGCTGTTATCTATTGTGTCCTTCAAGTAGCGAGAATGTTCGAAGGGTTGGAACTGCCGCCTCAGTTAGGATTACAGCTTCAGAACCATAGGCCATGGCAAATAGACTTTCCCTCGTGGGTTGTTGTGGAGTGGTTCAGTACGCCCAAAGCACCTAAGGGAGATTCTCGTACCATTTTGTTTTCAGTTTTTCCAACTTCTTCTTTAAACAACTGAAAATGGCTCGGTTAGTTATTTTAGCCTGTCCATTCCCTTGTGGATGACTGACCGCAGCTAGCTTTTGTATAATTCCATGTTCAGCGAAGAATTTTCTTGTACTCTTATTGTCGAGGTTCTTACCATTGTCCATCATAATGACTTTTGGTACCCCAAACCGACAAATGATATTGTTCCAAATGAAACTTTTTACCTGCTCATGGGTCACACTTGAATAAGCCTCGGCTTCCACCTATTTTATGAAGTAGTCTGTAGCTAGCAACACGTATTCTTTTTGTTCCACGGTCTTGGGTAAAGAGCCCACCATATCAATCCCCTACTGTGCGAATGGCCATGGATTTGCCATTGCGTGCAAATCTATGGTAGGTCGATGTTTCATTGGACCGTGGCGCTGACATTTATCACATCTTCAGGCGTACTCTTCAGCTTTCCGAGCCAAATATAGCCAAAAGGTAGCCTTGAGTTAGAACCTTATGTGTGAGGGATCTTCCCCCAGAGTGGTTGCCGCAATCTTTGTCATGAATCTGCTTCAATACCACAAGAGCCTCAGTGGGCCTTAAACATTTCAAGTAAGGACCTGAAAATGACTTGCGGTACAACTAGTTGTTGATGATGGCATATTTAGTTGCGGTGAGTCTGAGCTTCCGCGCCTCAATTTTCTGGTTTGGAAGAGTACCATACTTGAGGTAGGCTTCCAATGGATCAATCCAGCATGGCTCTCGCGGAATGGCTGGAATCACCATTACCTCTTGCTGAAGGTTAATGTTATGTTCGTCCACGATGTCAATTGGCACAATTTGAGTCAGATCTTCATTTGAGGATGACGCTGCTATGGCCAATTGATCTGCATCAGCATTCTCAACATGAGGTACCTAGTGGAATTCGACGCGATCGAATCCTCGTGTAACATTCTTCACAGTTTCTTTGTAGGTATTCATCCTTTCCTCTTTGGGGTGATACTGACCTATCACTTGATTTATAACAAGTTGTGAATCACTAAAAACTTTTAAACACCGTACCTGAAGGCTACTAGCCAATCGAAGACCAGCAAGTAATGCCTCATATTCGGCCTCATTATTAGTAGCAGGGAAATTCAGACAAATTGACTGCTGCATTTTGGAGCCTTCGAGTGTTAACTCAACAACCCTAACTCCTACACTTGTTTGATTCGAGGAACCATCAACCCAAAGCTCCCACTGTGGTTCAGGGAGTTCTGGTTCTTCGGGAGTGTCCTCGTATTCTAGAAGAAAATCTGCTAAGGCCTGTCCTTTGTGTGACACCTTCAGCTCATAGGTTATGTCGAAGGAACTGAGCTCGATGGCCCATTTGGTAATTCTTTCAGATAAATCCGACTTAGAAAGTATACCCCGTATAGGGTAGTTGGTGAGCACCACAATGCTATGAGATTCGAAATAATGTCGAAGCTTCCTCTTTACATAAACCAAAGCTTGGATGATTTTCTCTACTTTGCTATACCGTATCTCTGCATCTGTCATTGTCTTACTTGTGTAGAAGACTGGGTATTGATTCTTTCTTTCCTCTCTAATTTGCACTGCTCTTGTCACTATGTTAGAAATTGCTAAATACATAATAAGAACTTCTTCAGGTTTTGGAGCGGATAGAATTGGAGGTTCGGCCATATATCGTTTCAACTGGTTGAGGCCCCCCCTGCTGCTAAGGCTCCCATATATCCTTATTCTAAGATCTTATAGCATCAAAGAATGGTTTACACTTATCTGATAATCGAGATATAAACCGGCTGAGAGCTACGATCCGACCGGTAAAAACTTGCACCTCCCTATGAGTTTTTGGTTCCTGATTCTACATGAGGGCCTTAGCCTGAGCTGGGCTTACCTCTATCCCTCTCTTATTCACTATATGGCCGAGGAACTGACCTGATGATACTGCAAAGGAGCACTTGGAAGGATTCAACTTCATGTTGTACTTCTTTAAAGTGTTGAAAACTTCCTGGAGGTGCTTCGGATGGTCTTCCTTCTTTACACTTTTGACCACCACGTTATCTATGTATGCTTCAACCGTCTTCCCTAACAAGTTGTCGAAGATCTTGTTGACAAGGCGTTGATAAGTGGCCGCGGCATTCTTCAGCCCGTAGGGCATGACCCTGTAACAATAAGTGCCATTTTCTGTAATGAAAGCAATTTTTTCTTCATCTTCTGGATTCATCGGAATCTGATTATATCCTTAGTACTTGTCGAGGAATGTAAGCCTCTTGTAGCCCGTAGTGGCATCAACCATCTGATCTATCTTCGGCAGAGGGAAGTTATCTTTAGGGCAAGCTTTGTTGAGGTTGGTATAGTCTATGCAAACCCTTCACTTCCCATTCTTCTTTTGGACGACCACCATATTTGACAGCCATTATGGATATTGCACCTCTCGGATGAAACCTACTTGCAACAACTTGTTCACTTCTTCAGCTATAATATGATTGCGCTCAGGGGCAAACCTTCGGTGTTTCTGCTTCACCGGTTTGAACTCCGGATCTGCCTTCAGGCTATGGCAGGAGACTAAAGGATCGATCCCTATCATGTCCGAATGATCCCATGCAAAAGCACCTGCATTGCTCCGAATGACATCAATTAATGCTTCCTTTTCTTCGGATGTAGAAGAAGAGCCTAGATAAGTGATCTTCTAGGGGTTGTCGAGGATAACTTCTATGGCTTCGAGGATCTCCTCGGTAGGCTTCGCAGTTTCTTTTTCCTCCTCTACCTTAAGATACTTGGGCAGAGGGCTCTGTAATTGCTATTTGAGTGCATCTCTGGGAGTCATGCCTGGTTGAGGTTGTCTAGACACCTTCTTTGCTTCAGCCTGTGTCAGCATATAGCATTCTTTCGCAGCGACTTGATCGGCCCATAGATTAATAACCTCTTTTTCATCCGAAGATAAGCACCGCATCACCTGATGAAGGGTGGATCCAGCCATGATGAGATTATAGGAAGGGTGGATCTCTGTTAAGACAAAGTTCTCCTTCAGAGTTCTCTTCGCCACAGTTACTAATAAGTTTATTACCCCAAGGGGATCTACTCTTGTACCATCGAACCCCATCAATGGGCTGGAGGTAGGTCGAATTGATGATGACGGGATCTCTAGCTGCTCAAAGACCACTTTTGTGATGATGTTGGCACTACTCCCTGGGTCTATCAAAACCCTCTTGATCATGTAATTCGCCACTAAAAGACTGATGACCAATGGATCCTCGTGGGGGAGTTAAACTCTGGATAGGTCGCCATCGCCGAATCCAATATTGATGCTGCCCGAGGCGATAGCATTGACCGAGGATAACTTCCTGAGATTATGGGTTACCCTCAATCTGGATCTGTATACCTCCTCTAACTCTTGATCATCTTCAGATCTACCATGTATTGCATGAATGACCTTTACTTGAGTACCTTTTACCTTGCGAGGATAGACCTCGCGGGGCTTCACATATTCCTTCGTCATGAGGTAATCTACCAACTCACCTCTGGCTATCATATTTTCCACTTGTCGCCTAAGGGATCTGCAATCATTGGTTGAATGCCCATAATCTCAATGATAAGCGCAATGCTTGTTTTTGTCCCTCTGCTCCAAGGGTTGCTTCATTGGCTGCAGGGCTGTGAACCTCATCTTATTCTCCTGGAAGAGCCGAGCCAAGGTAGTTCGGAGAGGTGTAAACCCTTCCTCTACCCTTTGCCCCTTCTTAGGTGCCTGGGTGATCGGCGTTGAGGCGCGCTGGCTTTTTTGGATTTTTGAATTTGGAATTCTCTCCCGAGGCTTGTTCTCTACTGTCATGAGGGTGGTGTGCTGCGCTCGGTGTGCTACATTTTCCTCGAGCCGGATGTAGATTTGGGCCCTGGCATTGAGAGTCTGCATGTCGGGAGGAGAATATTTGACCAAGGAAGTATGAAACTTCGTCCCCTGAATTATTACAAGTTTAAATATTTCTATAGCAATCGCGGGATGACAGTCTGTTATTTTCGAGGCTTCCATGTTGAATCTAGATAAGAAATTCTACAGTGTTTCCCTTTTCTTTTGCCTTACGGTGAAGAGGGTAGCAATACTCTTCTTTTGTTCTTATTTCTACAGTATTGTGCTAGGAACATGGTGCACAGAGTTACATAATCCGGGATGGACTTGTATGGCCTATTCCTGAACCACTCTAGTGCTGCTCCTATCAAACTGGTAGGAAAAACTCTACACATCCAAGGATCATTACGGTCATCCAAAGCAATCTTTTGGGTGTAATGAGCCAGGTGCTGAGAAGGATCTCTCGTACCGTCAAATTGAGTAAAAGAAGGCATGGTAAATTTCTTGAACCTCTCAACCATATATAGATCGTTAGTGAAAGGAGTCTTCACCTGGGAGTTTTTGTGCTCTCTGGCTATCTCAGCGGGTGTCTAAATCTTCAGGAGTCTTTTCTCATCAAAGGCATCCTGAACACCTGAACCATCTGGAATACCATTGGACCATAGTGTGAGCTTATGGCTAGACTCGGCTTGCTCGTCCTACGTACAACGAGGGAAGTTGTCTAAAGCGACTACCTCGGACCTTGCCCTCTGCTGTTGCTGAACCTCGTTTGGCTGAGCCTCATTAGGTCGTGCCCCATTAGGTTCAAGCTCGTTAACTGGAGGAATATTCTGATTAGGGGGTACTATCGTATCACCTGGTGGTGGCGGTGGTGCCAACTGAGCCATCGCCATTTGCAGAGTGTTATTCTGCTATTGAAGCAAGGCGATCTAAGCCACGCTAGCTTCGTTTGCTTGACGAAGTATGTCAAACTGATGTAAAAACTCTTCACGCATCTTCTGCATCAACTCCATCTGTTGATCTGTTGAAGATCCTCCATTCGACATTCCAGATGGTAGTAGCAAGATTCACTTGAAACAAGAGTGGGAATATATTTGCACACGATTCCCATAGATGGCGCCAAAGTGTAGGTGCAAAATTTTGCTCAACCAATAATGATTGAGAAAAATAAAACAACTCACTCAAAAAATAATAAAAACAAATATGAATAGTGTATAAAGAATCGTAGAATTGATTGTACGTTTTGGTCCCCTTTTATTGGAGGTCTTGGCCTCTATTTATACATAAAAAGTAGTCGAGTTATGGTAAGACTCGCATTACTTGTCCTCCAATTCTTTCTATGTATACATTCTTTACAATTAAAGTTCTTTCCATTGTTTAATTTTCCATCCATAGAACTTGCTTCGTGTAGAACTTTCTATTGCAAAGTTCTCTTTTTATGGTAAATCCTTCAGCAAGTAGGATTCGTTCATTCTTGAATAACTGGGCTAGCTATAGCATTAACCGGATGGGCTTGAATAATAGGCCAGATGTTTGAAATGAGCAGATCGGGTTAACACTCTCTTGATTTGGCTCGGATAAAAGTAAGAGAGCCAATAACAGTGATCCTGGGCTAGGAGTACATTCACTTTGGGCTTGAGCATGACGGGCTTTTCGGAAAACAGACCTGCCTCCGTGATGACATGGACTAATCTTATTGGAGGGGATTTTTTCCCTCCACATAGGCCCACACTTGTATAAATAAGGAATTGTAATACCCCTAATTTTAAAAGGATAGTCTCGGCATTTATTTATTATTTTTATTGTATTTTTGCGTGATTATTTGGTTTAATTAGTTTATTTAATTGTTTACCTATGTGACATGTATTTAATTGGTATTTATTTATTTGTTTAATTGCGTTTTATTTTATTTAAGTGATTATTTGCTTGCTGGAATGTTTGAATTAATTGTGATTTTATTTAGTTGTTATTTTAATTGGTTTTGGTTTTGGTTTTGGTTTTGTTTGAATTGATTAATTGAGTATTTTTCATTTTTATGTTAATGGGTTGTTTTTATATTGACTTAATTTAATTTATTTAATTTAATTGGTTGAATTTAAATGTTTAAGTTTTTCACAGTGTAATTATTTTATTTATCTAAATTTAAGGTTTTAGGATTTATCGTTGGCCGACTTATAGTCAGAGTTGGAATAGGATTTGGTAAAGTGAAGCCTATATATACATGTTCATACTGGGGTTTAGGGTTTTAGAAAACATAAAGCTACGTCTGTATCACCAAGGGCTGCTAAGAAACAGAGCGTGAACTTAGGGAATTGGCAAAGCAGTTCAAGGAAGACACCATAAACTGTGGAATTAGAGTTTTAAAGTCTGAAACTCAAGGCAAGTCTTGTTCTTCTCTATCTCTCTAATCTGTGTTCTGTGCATGGTTAGGAAGACTCCAGGGATTAAACTAAGGCTTAATTACAACTTTTATGCATATTTAATCAATATTTAACTTCGTGGAATTGAACCTGTTCTTCGTTGTTTCAGAAAGATAGTAAATAAACTGTAGTTCTGTAATTTGGCTTCGTTGTGTAGTATTTTGTTTTCAATTCTAGTTGGTGATATATCATTGTTTTACAATCAATCTGGAACTAAATTAGGCCTTAAAACATGCACTAAAAATTTCTACAAGAACTGGTACTCACAGAAAATAGAGAAGACGACGAAGCGGACGAAACTGCTAAGGGGAAAAGGGAGCAGGCTCTTATAACCCCTTAGAGCCGGCTCCTAGAAGGTAGAGCCGGCTCTAGGATGTTGTGGAGCCGGCTCTAATGAGCCTAGAGCCAGCTCTGAAGAAAAGAAGAGCAGGCTCTTTTAATTTCTAGAGCCTGCTCTCTCTTAAAAGGTCCAGAAACTATTTTTTTTGTGGTTCGTTTGGCTGAAATTGAATTTTCTGGAACTGTTTGAAGCAACTGAATGCTGTAAATATGTGTTTGAGACTTATAATAATGTTAAGAAGCAAGTTTACATTCAGTTATTGAGGATAGGAATTAATTTAAGATTAAATAGAGGGCTCGTAGGTGAATGGTTAAATATTTACATTACGCTGCTTACTGTTGTAGCAGTTGGTTTTATTGCATGATCTTAAATTATGAATCATATTGTTAGTTGTGTTAGGAGCATATGACTGTTAAAATATATGTGTTCTTAGCTGGAATTAACTGATGTTTACAAACTAACATAAAACGCATCAGTTATGGTATTATATGGAGAAATAAATTATATAATCTTGATTTGTTAATTTAAAGGATTGGAACTGGGATTCTAAAATTGTTATTGGAGGCACAATTTAGTTATACACATGTTAAACTATATTTATGCAAATTTTGGAGTATGGTTGGTTAGTATCTGATACTGTTTTCGTCAAACTACGCTAACTGGAGGAGCTAAGTGTACAGTCTTGTATTTTTATAAAGAACTGCAATGGGATATCTAAATGTTATATTGGAGGCATAAATTGGTTGTATACATGCTAAACAATATTTATGCTTATTCTGGGATGTGGTTAATAAATAGATATACTATGTTATTAACTATGTAAACTGGAGGATGGTATGCACCGGTATGGGACGGTGTCATACTAGGTACGAATTAGTTCAGACACTAAGCCTACCTAAATTTGGATTAAGGTATGGATTAATCATAAAGGTTAAGTCCAACACCTACATGTGTCATATCAATTGTGAATTGAATGACCTACTATGGTTTCAGGATGGATTGGTTATACATATATCAGACCACTACACAGATGGATGGTATATTGTATTAGGAGGAGTTCGGACTTTATATATATATTATACGATGCCGTGGAATGAGCTTGAGTCTCATGACCATGGTTAGGGCGCGTATATCGCCTAGGATGGATAACTAGACATAGGTGTTGTTCCTCAACATAAACGGGTATGATCATCTATAAAAGTAACAAAACATTTTTTTTTTCTAGAGATAATAGTGACTCTTGAAGGTCCCCAAATATGACTATGTATTAAATAAAATGGTTTTGAAGAAGTATAAGCTTTTGGCAAATAAGTAGTATGATGACTCTTAGATAAGCAACAACTTTCATAATAGAATGATAAACAATTCAAACCTTTGAATAAAGTAGAAAACAAATGTTTAAGATATGGAAAGCTAGGATGTCCTAGTCTTAAATGCCAAAACATTATTTGTTCATAAACAGAGTTAGAACTAACACTACTAAGGCCCTGAGCCTTTTTATTACTGGAGAAGTCCCCATCAAAGTAGTAAAGTCCATCTATTATCTTAACACTGCCAATCTTCTTCCCCGAGCTTTGGTCCTAAAATTCACAGTAAGAATCACAGAAAATTAC